TTTTTTATTTTTCAACAAATAATACACTGCATATATTCTTCTTAGTGGTTAATTGCTGTACAAGATGCGGACTTGTGATCCTATTTACAAACAACTAGGTCTCATTTAGACTCTCTTACACTTTTTCTCTTTTCTTCCTGAGATTTAGTGTCTAAATCTATTATATAGTCTTTCTCTGAATCTCCTGAAATCTCTCTCTCCCTTTTTTGAAGAGTAAGCAGGCCTAGGTAAAAACATGAACTATTTGGAATCCTATGAGTGTAATGATCCACCTTTCACAATGATACGTGAGGAGATCGTTTGTTATTTTAGTTGGTCACCTAGTAAGAGGTTCGCTTTCAGCGACAAACAGCTGGACCACTCTCCCTGCCTCAGTTCTGGTTTTCTGCCATCAGAGATGCCATGGGCTGTGCTGCCAGGATGCTTCATTTTGCAGCCCGGTGGAGCCGAGCAGTTGCCAGATAGGAATAACAGTGCTAAACCAGAGGGTGGTTTGTGGGCTGGGCACACACACCCTAAGGCCACGCCGGGCCGTCCCATTCTTTCCCATTTGCTGCTGCCAGCCAGAACGTGATTATTACTGGAGTTTGCTTACAAGCCACTTTGAGAAGACTTACTAAATGAGTTTTTGTTTTGTAAAAATAAATAAATAAATAAATAAATAAATAAATAAATAAATTGTAGACTAATTCATAATTTTATTTATTTATTCATTTATTTTTCATAATTTTAAAAGCCTAGTTGAGGGGCCAGGGAGCCAGCTCAGTGGCTGAAGAGCCTGTCTTGCAAGCTCAAGGTCCTGAGTTTGATCCCTGGTACAACAACAACAAAAAAGCTTAATTGAGAGATTGCAGGTGTGATTCAGTTGCAGAGTGTATATGTAGTATGTGCATTCAACCTCAGCACTCTACCCCAAGCCTGGTTGAAGAGGAATGGAATGAATTTAGCTCTGTTCAAGGCTAAAGCTACATTGGAAAAGACTGCAAGATATCATTTAATTTCTTACTGTTAGGTAGGTGAGTATATGAACTTTCCTAACCACTGAAATTGTATTTATTTTAAAGATATTGAGAAGTAATGAATTTCATAATATCTCTTCCTTGTTCTATCTGGGGTTTAATCAATGTTAGACTAAATAACTACTTTTTTTTTTTTCCACAACTCTCTTCATCTAGTATTTTGGGGCCTATTTTTCCCCTATCTTCTTTGATAGTGTAGGTTCCTCAAGGAACACAGAATGTTTTACATGCTTTTCAAAAGTTAGTTTAAATACAGACTCTTAGATAGTAACCTCTGGCTACAGGTTACATTCATTATATTAAAAGGATGAGCTCATGTCTCTTTCTGTGCTTCTGTAATAGAACAAATGTCCTTAGAAAAGGTGATTAAATGTCTACCATTCTGCCTAAAAACAGTGGGAAAAGACTTGTTACCTGTTAGATTTTTTTTTTTTTTTTTTTTGGTGGAACGGGGGATTGAACTCAGGCCCTTGCGCTTGCCAGGGAAGCGCTTATTCCACTGATCCATCTCCCCAGCCCACTACCTGTTAGAAAATTTAAAAATATTTCCCTGGTTTCTTTCTGTGTGTTCTCATTCTAAATATAAGTCAGTTTTTCTCTCTTCTTCAGATATATTCTTGCGGTATAGTTCAGGCTGGCCTTGAACTCCCTATGTAACCCAAGTTGTAACTTGCAGCGATCCTCCTGCCTCAGCCCCCTGATTGCTGGGACTAGTGATTGTGTATCGGCACACCTGGCCTCTCTCTCATTTTTTGAGACAGGTCATGTTAAGTTCTTAAATTGCCCACTGTAGGCCTGAGTCTCTGGTCTCACTGTCCTAGGGCTGGGATTCCAGATATGCACTACCACATGCAGTTGGCTTGCTTTCTTTTCCTTAACTGTAGCGATGCCTGGAATTCTGTTACTTCAGTTTGGTACATTCTGTCTCCCCACCCCAGAACTATAGTCCCTTGGAAGAGCTTTCGACAGGCCCTACATGAAGTGCATCCGATCAGTTCTGGGCTGGAGGCCATGGCTCTGAAATCTACCATTGATCTGACCTGTAATGATTATATTTCCGTTTTTGAATTTGACATCTTTACACGGCTTTTTCAGGTAAGATATTAAAAATGTTGGCCACTCTGGTTACTGTTACTTTTCTGAAGAGTAAGCTTTTCTAACAACATTTGGAGCTTGTCTAGTCTAGTATAATTAATTTTAGAAAATATTAGCAAAAACAAAAGCTTAAAGCTACTCTGTATTATATGCACGAAATAACTATGGTCTTCTTTGTTACTGGTTGTTATTCTTTACATCTTTTTAATGGTTATAGAAGTACCAGAAAATGGAATATACGTTAAAACATGGGGGTGAAAGGGCGGTATTTGGGATTGAATTTAGTGTTTTGTATCTGCTAGGCAAGCATTCTACTACTGAGCTGCATCCCCAGCCTGTACCTTTTTCAAATTTTATTTTAATGTCTCCCTAAATTGCCCAGGCTGGCCTTGAACTTGTAGTCCTTCTGCCTCAAGTTCCTGAGTGGCCCAGCTGATTATGTGTTCTACCAGTTTTTTGTTACTGGACTTCTGTGTATATTTCCAGTTTTTTTTCTTGCCATGAAATTCTTGACTGTATTGAGACCTATTGATGCTTCAAAAAGAATTCCTTTCTCTCAATGTTTTCTCCAGTGGATATATGCCAGTTTACATAGATATTTATTTGGAATTCATTAATTGCACACATAAGCCCTATTCTATTTTCTGATTTTTGTTACTGTTTTAACCTTACTACTAGTTAGAGCTGCTATTCATTTTGTTTAGTTTCTTCCTGTTGCACATATGTTTAACTTTTCATCTTCCAAACATACTTACATTCTCCTAGAGTAACACTGTAACTGAAAATTTTCATAACCAATTAAGAATTTATCATTGAGGGCTGGTGAGATGGCTCAGTGGTCTAAAGCACCTACTTAGAACAAGCTTAGCAAAGCACAGGGACCGCAGTTCAATCCCCCAGCACCACATGCCAGCCAGCCCCGCCCCCTGGTGGGCTGAGCTGGCCACACACACACACACACACACACACACACACAAATAAATTTTTAAAAAAAAATTATCATTGAGAAGTGAAGATTTTTCTCATTCATTGCTCTGAGGCCGTTTTGTACATTCTTTTTTTTTTTTTAAGAACAATAAACACCTTTATTACATGAGTTAAACCAGGAGGAAAGGTTTATTTGCCTTTCTGGGCCTTGATTTTCCTCAGATAGAACTCTAGCTCTTTGCCCTTTAGCACATAGCCATCTGCTCGGCCACACTGGCCTGGTCTTGCTGCAATGCAGGCAAGAAGCTTGCCCTGCTGGAACTGCTCTTCCAGAAGACTGCTAATCTTGGCGTTCTTTTTCCATTCATCATACTTCTTTTAAATTTTTCTTTGATCATTTTTTGTTTAAAATCTCCTCCTTGGGCCAGGGAGATGGCTCAATAGAATGACGCGAGGGCCTGAGTTCAGTCCCGGTTCCGCCAAAAAAAAAAAAAAAAAAATCTCCTCCTCCGCAGGAGTCAGCTTGGCCCCCTTTTTTTGGCCCAGGGGCAGTGCATCGTGGGATTCATACCACTGTCAGTACGGCATGCTGTCAATGAGCACAATGCAGTTCTTCACCAAGGTCTTGGTGTGGACCAGCTCATTATTGGACGAATTGTAAACAACATCAATGATCCTTGTTTTTTGAGTACAACACTCAGAGCTCCAGGAGAAGTTTCCCACATCTAGCCGCAGGGCTCGGTACTACTTGTTGCCTCCTCAAACTTGGACTGTGTGTATGCGGCAGGCGCCAATCTTAGTGTTGGCAGCAGGGCGCCCCAACTCATACTTCCGCTTCTTGTGATAGGGCTTTCTTTTGCCCCCTGTCTTGCGGCGCTTGTGCCAATTGTCCTGAGAGATGCCCATTGCTCGGCGCCGGCTGGAAAGAGCTGTTCTGTACATTTTGAGCTAGATCATCTATGATCGATCTCTTGTCTCTTTAGCCCTGGTCGTCTTTGCTCAGGAATTGGAACAGCCTTGCTGTAACACATCCTGGTTACATGGCCTTTCTGACATATGACGAAGTGAAAGCTCGGCTCCAGAAATTCATTCACAAACCTGGCAGGTCAGTGACATAAAGCAAATAGTTTTATTCTCATGTGATTCCTGCTGGCATAGAAGATAAGTGACCTTGTTTTAGTTTCTCAGTGATCAAGATTTCTTCAGTAGGATTGTTGTTTATCAGAGGAATGACTTATTCAAGCCCTATGATTTGATAAAAGCCCCTTAATGGATTTTAGGTGTCCTTTACTTCTGGTTTGGAGTCAAAGTGACTTTTCTTTTTCCATCTTCATTTTTCAGAGCTAGGAATTGAACCCAGAGCCATAGGCATGCCATGTAGTAACTGTCCCACTGAGGTACCCTCCAGCACCCAAAGAAATTACCCTGAATGGTCTCTTGGATTTTTGTCTTTATCATACCTACTACCCTAATGGCAGTACGTATATTAAAACCTTTGTCCATCTTTGTTCCCAGCTACATCTTCAGGCTAAGCTGTACTCGTCTGGGCCAATGGGCTATTGGGTATGTTACTGCTGATGGGAACATTCTGCAGACAATCCCTCACAATAAACCTCTATTCCAAGCACTGATTGATGGCTTCAGGGAAGGCTTGTGAGTACCCACTGTTACCGTCTACTACATACAGACTGGGAGCTTAGAGCCTGTAATACTTCATCATTAATAACTTCATTCCGGGTCTCTGCTACAGGTTAAGTTTCAGGAAACATATTAAGAGGTTTTATTTGACCTTCAGATTCTGTAGGACTTTTGTATGTATATTTGTATTTATGTATTTACTTTTGAGACATAGTCTTGCTGTGACTGAATTTAAATTCACTATGTAGCATGGGCTGGCTTCAAGCTCTCAGTGAACCTCCTGCCTCAGACTCTAGAGTGCTGGGATTATAAATGTGTGCTACCACACTTGGCTGTTTACAGATTCTGTAAATTAACTTTTTTGTGTGTGCTGCTTTGGTTATTACCATGAATGAATTTTATCTTTTTCCCAAATAGTAAGGTATTTTCAAGTGCATGATTGGAATGTAATTAAACAGTTACGAACTGTTTCATTAGCCAAAATTTGAGTCATTAGATGTTCCTAATGACAGTGGCATCAGTGACCTTCCTTTCCTTTATTCCAGTGTTTTGTCAGCAGCTTTTCTTCATGTGTTTGGCTTTAGCCATATGTGCTAATATTACAGAATGGCTATTCCTCAGCAATTCTGTAATGTTCACATTATCAGTAAATACTAAAGATACCATTGACCAGGTAGCAGAAAACTAGCGTGTGTTAAAGTGATTAGGGGGGCTGGTGAGATGGCTTAGTGGTCTAAAGCACCTACTTAGAACAAGCTTAGCTAAAGCACAGGGACCGTGGTTCAATCCCCCAGCACCACATGCCAGCCAGCCCCGCCCCCTGGTGGGCTGAGCTGGCGCCACACACACACACACACACACACACACACACACATAAATAAATAAGATTTAAAAAATAAATAAAGTGATTAGGAAAATCCATTTTCCTTTATGTGCCATCTCCTACAGTAGAATTAGAAGAAAGCTGCCTGAGTTGGCTAAGCAGTTTGGTGCTAGAAACTCTCTGGTCAATGCTGATTATCACTAAATGGGTCTCTTTTAGCCTCTTACACTTGAAAGTACAGGCATCTTAAGTCTGTGATCAAAAGCAAATGTAGCTTAAATTAAGAATTTCTGTCAGTGGTCATGTGTGTTGATTAAAATAGCATTTGACAAACTGTGGCCCACAGTCCAGCTGTTCTGGTACCGCCTATAAATCAAGATAGTTATTTCTTTTCAAAGTAGGGCTTAAAAGAAGACAAAGAGGGTTGGGGAGATAGCTCAGCAGTAAAAGTGCAAGGTCCTAGGTTTGATCCCCCGTACAATAAATGAATGAATGAATGAATAAATAAATAAATGATATAGACTTATATGGTCTATAAAGTCTAACCTATTTAATATGGTTCTTTGTAGAAAAGGCTTAATAAAAAAAGAAAAGGCTTGCCAGCCCCTGAGTTAAAAAGTAGAGCTTATGGCATTGTACTGTGGAGCATATCTTCTTGGAAATATGTGTTACCTATTTTTCAGAAGTTGTTTAGCGCGTAGTTTTACACAGCATTGTCCTTGTAGAATGGAGGACTTGCTAGATGTCATCTGTCTATATTAACAGGCACTGATAAATTGGCCTTAGTAAAGTCTCAAGGTTGGTTACTTTTTTTTACAGTTATTTATTTCCTGATGGACGAAATCAGAATCCTGACCTGACAGGCCTCTGCGAACCAACTCCCCAAGATCACATCAAAGTGACCCAGGTAAGGTTTGTTTTACATTCTAACCATAGCAGTAGTGCTAAGCTTTTGGATATATTTACAGAATCGACAGTATAACATAGCTACATGATTTGGAACACTTAATTTTAAACCACTAACTACATGAGTGCATTTGAGTATGTATGCTTTCTCTTTAAACCGTACAACTTAACCTGGAACCAAGACTGAATATTTTCTGGTTTAATGAGAGAACATCAACCATTCTTTTTTTTTTGGCGGAACTGGGGATTGAACTCAGGCCCTTGCGCTTGCCAGGGAAGTGCTTATTCTACTGAGCCATTTCCCTGGCCCAGCATCAACCATTCTTGTTGCATTTTTATTCAAACAAAACTTCTATGGAAAGTAACAGTCTTCAGTTTTCTTGTAGCATTTACAGTTACAGTCATTCATTGAACAAACTATAATTTTTGTTGTTGTTGTTCACAGGAGCAATATGAGTTGTATTGTGAGATGGGCTCCACATTCCAGCTGTGTAAAATATGTGCTGAAAATGATAAGGATGTAAAGATTGAGCCCTGTGGACATCTCATGTGCACGTCTTGCCTGACATCCTGGCAGGTACGGATCCAAGCTATGCATTTTTCAACTTTGTCATCTCTGGGCTGGTTTATGAGAAAGGTTAAACATTTTAATCCCCACCCCTTTTTTCTTGATGCTGAGGATTGAATGCAGTACCTCCCATGTTCTAATCATGTGCTCTACCCTGAGCTAGAAGTCTTTAATTTCGTTTTTATCCCTAGGAAATGTACTTAGTGCATGAATGTTTTAAGTACTTTCACGTGCATGTGTTACCAGTTTCTCCTTCCTCTGTAGGAATCAGAAGGTCAGGGTTGTCCTTTCTGCCGATGTGAAATCAAAGGCACAGAGCCCATTGTGGTAGATCCATTTGACCCTCGAGGAAGTGGCAGCCTATTGAGGCAAGGAGCAGAAGGCGCCCCCTCCCCAAATTATGACGACGAGGATGATGAGCGAGCTGATGATTCCCTATTCATGATGAAGGAGTTGGCTGGTGCCAAGGTGAGCGCACAGTGTGGAGTGGCAAAATCCATGGCAAGTAGTGTTCCAAAGCTGGGAGACACCCAGACTACAAAAGACTATAGTAATTTACTTATTAAGCATTTGCCATAAGACAGATGCTGTATTAAACTCATTACTTATAATCTTTACAACAACACTCTGAGTGGGTATTATTATTACTGTCATTATTGTTCATTATTATAAGTGGTAATAATATTGGTACTGACTGAGCCAAGGGGCACTCTACCACTGGGCTACATTCCCCAACCTCTCCCCTGACCCCCACCTTTTCCCTAAATTTTGAGACACAGAGATCTTCCACAGGGTAGTCTTTTTTTTTTTTTTTTTTTTTTTTGGCAGAACTGGGGATTGAACTCAAGACCCTGCACTTGCCAGGCAAGCACTTACTCTACTGAGCTGTCTGCCCAGGCTACTCTTGAACTTGTCATCCTCCTGAATCAGCCTCCAGAGTAGCTGGGATTGCGGTTACACAGCATTGCATTGAGCTTATACTCATTTAATAGATGAAGAAGCCAAGCCACTGCCTGGCATAGTGGCATGCCCCTGTGATCCTCAGTACTCTGAAGGCTGAGGCAGGAGAAGTGTAAATTCAAGACCAGCCTAGGTAACTTATTGAAACCCTGTATATCTCAAAAATAAATCTAAGAAAGGGTTGGAAATTAGTTCAGTGAGGGCTGGTGAGATGATGGCT